GCATGGTGTTTTTTTTTTATATCAGACCAACCCTATTTAATTTTCTGAATGTAACTATTCAATTCAAGCCTTCTCATTCTGCCTTCTTGCCCTGTTACTCCATATAGATGCTCAGCATGCTACAATGATAAGAACGCTGACTCGAAAGTTGAGAGGCCTTGGGTCAAATCCCATTTCTTGCTGTACACCGTCACTGTGGCCGAGTCGCTTACGCTCCCTGGGCCTTAGTCTTCTTCTCTTTAAGTCAATAACCATTTATTAAAAGTAGCTACGACGTGCCAGGCACCATGCTAAGTGCTGTAATGTGAGGGGACTGGACAATGTGGCCTCAGTGGTCCCTTCCAGCTTTAAAGCTGGGACCCTTTTATTGAACAAACGCATGTCGGTTGATTTATTGTCTATTTTTAACGCTTCATGAAACATCAGAAGGTCATCTCTGCTTCTTTCACAGAATTCAATTTAACAAGCATCCCATTAGGCACCTACTATGTGCGAGGTGCTGGGAGCACAAAGACAGAAATGAAACAATCTCCCTCCTCAAGAGACTTACAATTTATTGGAGGTTTGAAGGTGATTTAGCGTTCTCTAGTTTGATCTCTTACTTTCAACATTCCCTGCTGAAGATGCTCCAGCCTATGCTTGGATACCTTCAATGATGGAAGGCTCACTTCCTGGAAGGTAACCCATTCTAGCTGTAGTCAGAATATCATTTTTGATAAATGAATCAGAATCTTCCTTTCTATAACTTCTATCCATTGACATTCATTCTGCCCTCTAGAGAGCAGTGTCGATTTCTTACATATTCTATAGGAAAATGAAGAGAACTTTACAAGGCAGATAGCTAGGTGATGCAATGGACAGAGTGCTGGGTCTGGAGTCAGGAAGACTTGAGTTCGAATCCAGCCTCAGACACTTAGTAGCTGTGTGACCCTGGGCAAGTCATTTAGCTTCTGTTTGCCTCCATTTTCTCAACTGTAAAATGGGGATAACAATAGTACGTACCTCACAGGATTATTGTGAAGATAAAATAAGATAATATTTGTAAAGCATGTAGCACAGAGCCTGGCATGCAGTAAATAATAAATGCTCATTTCCTTGTGTCCTTCCTTCCTTTCAATAATTGACTACCCAAGGGGACCCCAATTTTAATACTTGTTAAAAAGTGAGGTCTTGGAAAACATATTAACCTCTGTAAGCCTCAGTTTCCCCCTCCGTAAAGTCAGGGGGTTGGACTAGATGTCCTCAAAGGTCCTGATCCTATCAAACTACTTTCCTTTTTTCTTTTGAAGACCAGTTGGGCGGACAGTTCCCATGGGCCTGCTGAAAGACAAAAAGGCTGTACCAGCCACTCTGGGACTCTTGGTTTCCGGTGAGTTAGTATGTGTCCAGAACATATCTATCCTTACAACTCAGATAACTCCAGAGTCAAATGATGGACTACTCGTGTCAGCTGTGGGACGATCGGTCACACGCAAAGTCACCGGTTGGCATCCCACTTCCAGGTTTCTGCAGTGAAAATGCCAGTGAAAAATCTCCTTTCTCTCATGAACAAAACATTCTCTCACAAGACAGCAGTGCATTTGGAGACAGATAAGCTTGTCCAAATTTTGAAAATCCCCGAGGATTATTTTCAAACATAATGGCAATTTATCAATTTGCCTCCAGTATTAAGGATGCTGAAATAATTTTGCTTTGTGATGAATTTTTATGGCCAAAACAAGGCTATATCCCCGTGCACCAGTGGGTGGTAACATAACAATGGAAGTTTTCTTCAAGACAGAAAACACCACAGGAGTTACCAATATTTTTACAAAGAAACCACTGATGGGTGTCTGTCTATGTGATGTCAAATATCAGAAACTAATATATATTCACATCCAGACGGCCGAATGTATGGTCTGTATGATATCAGACATACGGATTTAGAGAGGGGTTGGGCTGGGGACAGGGGTGGCTGGGAAAGAGGGTGACTGTCTTTAAATGTCTGAAGGGCTATTGCCTGCTAGAAGGATTCTCTCTGTTCTGCTTGGCCCCAGCCAACAGAATCAGGAACAATGGGAAGATAGTGGAAGGAGGGATGTCAGGAAGTGTCCCCAAAGTGCAGTGGGCTGGCTTGGGGGTGCAGCGTTCCTCCCCAGTGGTGGCTTTAAGGAAAGGTGGCCAGACCACTTATTAGGAAGGATGCAGAGGGGATGCAGAGGGTCCGAGAACTAACTGGACACTAAGGTTCTTTCCAAGAATAAACGCTTGTTTATCGACTGACTTCAGAATCCTGTGACTCTGCAATTTTGATATGAATACTCAGACTCCTTCACTTTCATCCCTCATGCTTGGTAATATGATGGTAACTTTGTTGGGCGGCTAGAGGGGGATAGTGTGTGTCATGGAGCTGGATATGGAGAAAAGAAGACCTGAGTTCAAATCTGGCCTCAGACGCTTACTAGCTGGGTGACCCTGGGCAAGTCACTTCACCTCTGTCTGCCTCCATTTCCTCAACTATAAAATGGGGATAATAATAGTATCTAACTCCCAGATTATAATAATAATAGCACAACCCCAGGATGGTTGTGAGGATTAAATGCAATATATGCAAAGAGCTATGTAATGTTATATTACATAAATGCTATTATTATTATTAGTTCCATATTCACAGAAATGTAATTATAGGGTCACAGATTAAGATGTGGAAGGGACCTCAGAGGTCACTTACTTCAACTCTCTCATTTTACAGCTGAAGAAACTGAGCCCCAGCGAGGGATCACAAATTGAGCCCAGAAAAGGTCGTCCGAGGCCATCTAGCCCAACTCCCTCACTTTACAGATGAAGAAAGGGAGGTCCATGGAAGGAAAGTGACCTGCTCAGGTTTATAAAACAAGGACTATAAACAAATAAATTCAAATATAGCATCATAGATTTAGAGGTCATATAATTCAAGATTCTCATTTTACAGCTGAGGAAACAGTAGTATGGGGAGGGTCTGGGGTGGGGGTACATGTCACAAGATGAAAGGAGTATAGATGTAGGTAGGGCTGGAAGGGCCTTTAGAGTTCATCTAATGCAGCCCCTTGATTATACAAAAGAGGAAACTGAGGCCCAGAGAAAAAGCAAATTACCGCAGATCCCAATGATGGTAAATGACAGATTCACTCGGATTTGAATTTGGATTCTTACTTTTTCCACTATAACATGCCACCAGAGGAAGGCATCTGCTCGATAGGACTACACAGGCTGTGTCACCTCTTTCTCATATGGAACTATAATCTGGATGGAACTCAGGGCCAGGGTTCAACATTGTGGATTACTGCCTGTGCAAAAAACCAAAGGGATAGTTCAAAATAATTTGTAAGCTACAATTTTTTGGGGGGGAGAGGGGTGGCTGGTATTCAATGAACTAATGGGTGTACAAAACTACTTGAAAAAGCCTGAGAAATGGAACAAAAGAAAACAAAAAATCCAGGAAAGTTGTTGTCTTCTTGAATTCAGTTTTCCTGAACTATAATGGAGAGACCCTAGTGGCTGAAGGTATTAACAGTACGGCCTGAAAGCCTGTTTTCTCTATTTTGGTTCATTCGGGGGAACTTTAAAGTCATTTTTCAAATCATAGGGAAGACTCGGGCTTCTCAAAGTCAGCGCTGAACTTGGAGTTTTCTGGGAGGGAGTCTACTCTCCCAGTGGTCGATATGAGCTGGATTCCCATAGATGAAGGAAGATGTTGGGAGTAGAAGAGTTAATCCTCTCTCCTCCTCCTCCTTTCCCTCCCCCTCCCCCTCGCCTCTCCCTCCCCCCACTCCCACCCCAGCTGCCTGTACCTTCTGCGACCCTGCTTAATGCAGAGAAGGTCTCAAATACAATGTCCTGTAACCTGTACTGTTGACGTAGCCATAAAAGAGAGCCTTTTACACAAGTCCTGGGGAGGCAAATCCATCCTGCTTATTGGCACCTCGTCACTTCTTACAGGCAGAGGTTAATAGGAGCAACAGAGGAAGCATCTGCAGGTGACGTAGGCATGCACTGAAAACACACACACAAAAAGCACAGACCGTCTCCGGCACAGCGGTGGCGTTCGGGTGGCAAGCACGTTCGGGAAATGTGGGCCTCGTGCCCACGTCAGACGAGAGAAGGGATGCTCAGGTTCCCATCCTGAACTGAGAAACTTCTCTCTCTCTCTCCCCTATGACACAGAGCGGTTTCTGCAGAGTTCCGAATCCCTTGACTCGGTTTACCTTTTGACCCCAAATGCCTAGCATTGTCTCTTAAACTGGTAATAGCCATTTCAAAAATAATTGAATTGCTTTAACTATTCTTCACCCAGAAAGACAACTATGAAGTGATTCTAACCCAACAGCTCGCTCTATTCTGGGACATGATTTTCTTGCCTACCTGACCACGTATCATGGTCTATTATAAATGCTGCCCCGCCCCCACTTAGCGCACCTTACATCGGGCTTGAATTAGTCACTAACAAAACTGCCATCAGCTAATTTTTGAACCAACCTCAAGAATTCAATGGGACTCATAAAATGTTTTTTTTTTTTTTTTTTTTTTTCCCCAAAGAGACAAACAACAACAATGCTGACCTGGTCTCCTGATTCCATTATGAAAAATACAGAGCCACTGGTTTCCCAGTTCCCAAAGTCAAATAAAGCGATAACGGTGGCAGGACATGACTCATTTTTGCTCAAGTGTGGCTGACTTTCTAGCTCAATTTTTTAGGGAGATCCAAGGCAAGAGATTCTGAACAGCAGTTACAGTCTCTTCCTGGTACCTGGAAGGTTTTCGTATTATCCCTGCAGCAGCCCTAGGAGGGAAGCTCTCTTCTTCTAGTTCCTAAATGTTATAGGCAACATTTTTCCTTCCTAAGTTCTAAGGACACACAGGGAATTCAGGAAGCAGGACTGCTCGGAGACGAGGGGCTCTGTAGAAGGACGAGACAATGTAGCTGGCTGTGCCAAGAGACCAGCGGAAATGCACCAGATACAGAAAAGAGGAGATCGGCCCACCTGTGTCTGTTGAGGGATATTTACAAAGCTTGGATCCCGGGGTCCAACACTGACGAATCGGTTTGCGGGGGAGGTGCTGGGTGTCGAGTAGGCTGTGAAGGGAAGGGACACATGCGTTCAGGAAGCAGCACCAGAATGCACACAAACAACACCAGAACACACATTCTCAGAGCCCAAGCAGCTGATTAACAGAGAAATGGGCACACGTTTTAGCTAGCAAGGCTTCGGGGCTAGTGAGAGCTATCTAGAAAATGACAAAGAAGGGGTAAGTGGAGGGCGGGAGATCCTTTTTCAAATGACTGGTAGGTAAAAATCCATTGTTAGGGACGTCTCGGCTTCCTCCCCCCTCCCTCCACCTCTTAACCCTGAACAAATTAGGAAATTAGGATGCACTGGCAAGGAGTGCCATCGGAATTTTACCCGAGTGCCTGCATGCGGCACCCATGGCCTTTACAGCACAGGGAAGAATGAAATGAAGTCGGAAGATCTTTTCACAACCCGGCTTTTCACCCTGGTGCTGGTGCATTTCTGAAAGTCACGGAATATTTGTGTAATGCTATAATATGGATAAAGCCTTTAAAAAATCAGAAATTCAAGAGTTCTAGGGGAAAAATAAAAAAAAAAACCACTTTAAACAAGCTACATTTCCAGGGCCCATATGGTGCCTAGCATCTTTATGACATGTAAAATGGAGCCTCCAGAAAACAGAACCCTCACCACCTGCATATACATCCCACTAAGTGCTAGCAAAGCTGCAGTTGTCCTGGCGCCATATTGAAATGGCTTCATCGTTCCTCTGCTCTTTGCAGTGACCTCAAAATTTTGCCATTTTCAAGGGTTTCATACTACTTTCATTCAAACACATTAATCCAATTTGGAAGTGGGGTTCGTGAACTTATTTTTAATATATATTTTGATAACTTTATTTCAATATACTTGATTTCCTTTTGCAATTCTGTATTTTATTTTATGCATTTAAAAGATTATTCTGAGAAAGGATCCGTAGGTCTCACCAGACTGACAAAAGAGGCCCTTGACACAAAAGTTTCTGAGCATCAGATTTAGAGGGTTCCATTACTTTGTCCTGTTTTCATTAGTTTTTGCCCCTGCCATGACAAATCAATGGAAGCTCATGAACAGGAGACCTATAGGATAGGGAGGCTTGGATGAGTAGTGACCTTCACCTTTGGAGGAAACATCAACATTGATGAACTCACAGAGGATAGGATGATAGATCTAGGTAGGGCTGGATGGGATCATAGAGGTCAATAATGAAGAGATTTCGAACCAGAGAGCAGTAGTTCTAGGGATGGGAGGCACCCAAGAGGTTATCACGTCCCACTCCCTCATATTTTAGGGGAAGAAACTGAGGCCTAGGTAGGTTACGTGATTTGCTCAAGGTCACAAGTATTCAAGGTATTTGAACAGACAGGAGCCAGAGGAATAATGGAGTAATTGGAGTAACGGTATAATAATTGTAATAATAGTAACTGGAATAATGGAGTAATTGGTTCGTGAAGTCATCACGTAATAACAAGGTCCCAGGATGACAGATTTAGAGCTGGAAGGGCCCCCAGACTCATCTAGGTCCAATATTCTCATATTACAGATGAGGAAACTGAGGCTCAGAGAAGTGAAGAACTTCCCCAAGGTCACCCAGGTAGGAAGCGGCAGAATCACTAATAGAACTGGCTTCCTCTGGCTCCAAGATTCAGAGCTTTTCAATAACGAGCAATCGTCAGGGAGGTCAGGTGGCTGTTACGAACGGTGACTAACAAAGGCCTTTTGACTTTACATCAAGATTTTTAAGGGATGCCACAGGTGCTGCTGATATTTTAAGATGCTTAACACAGCGCCTGACACACTGTGGGTGCTCAATAAATGCTTGTTGACTTAAGGACCACAGGGGGAAAAAAGGGCACTTTCTGTTAATCAGATCAAAACAAAAGCCTTGTCTCAAATCAAGGCCAGCTCTCTTAGAGAAAACACCAGAGAGTTGGCCTTTTATGGGAATTTGGCTGTAACGACTATGACAAAATTATTTCCAAAACACCTAAAAACAATTCAAAAGAAACATTCTTTCTTTGGATTAACTGTCAGCTATATCTTCAGATACAAGGGTGACAGGTTCAGTAATTTTTGAGAGCAAGGCGAATAGACTGGGTTTTTTTTTAAGCATTTTGCCAGATTATTTCCCACAGGGAATGGAGAGCAGGCTTACCCTATTTCTATTTTTTTCTCTCGTAGAAATGTGTTCCCAGGTCTTGTTTCCTTTGTTAGATACATCCTGAGATGAGATTTTCTACCACGACTAACCTAAGTGCCCTTATATTCTTCCTAGGGAGGTTGTCATGCCTTCCAGTTGGGCATGGGGACATTTTAAAAGTTACATTAAATGACTATTTTATGAACAGGGCTGGAAAAATCATTCATTGTGTAAATTACTCCTAGTAATAATTCTCCATGTAATGAGAAAAACAGGGTAGCTTTAGGAGGTGCCAGTGAAATACTTTCAGAATGAATGTTTTGTGGCTGGAGATGGGGTTTGGTATGTTTCTATATCTTTATTTTTCTTTCTTTTTTGGTTTTTAAACATGGGGAGTTAGTATGCTGCAGAACATCAGAAGGCCTAGGGGAAAGTCTGTAGCAAACTGCCCAGATGGGAGATTTATGGAAGGAAATGGATAAAAAGGGACCTAGATTAGAGGGTGTGGATGGGATCTGATTGGCATCGGTGTGCATGCGGTACGATCAGAACCAAAGGAGGGAGATGAGATCAAGTCACAGGTCCCATGGAAGCGCCGAACTATCCAAAGGTAACATATGGTATATTTTGGCATCTACTGGAAAGTCATAATTTCAGAGGACCAGAAATGATAAGACCCCAGGAGTAGAGCTAGAGGCCTACAGCCCAATCCCCTTATTTGACATATAAGAAGGCTAGGGCCCAAGGTGGGGAGGTAACAGGATAACAGGAACCTAGATTTGGAGCTAGAAGGGGTCTGGGAGATGTTCTAGTATAACTCTCATTTACAGATGAGGAAACTGAAATTGTAGGTGAAGTGAGGACAATGACATCTTAGATCAAGGGCTAGACGGCCCTCCATGGTCATCTGGTCTAATTTATTTTACAAAGGGGAAAAACAGGCTCAGAAAAGGTGACTTGCCCAAGGTCATGTAGGCAATAAGTGGTTGAGGCAAAATTCAAACATGGGTCTATGTATCCAGACCTCATACGCCAGGTTTCTCTCTTTTGCATCCCCAATTAGAAGTCCCTGGAGAAAACGTGCAACTCTTTCCAGGGAAAAGCATAAATTTTCCCCTCCCCGATTTTTTTCTGGGAAAGCAGACTGAGAAAAGATACTCTGCTGAGCTGAGATCTTCCTATCTGCAACCTTCAATCTTTTGTTTCAGGTTGTCAAGTTTTAAGAAATTTCCGGAGCAGCCCAAGTCTCTGAATCACTAGCTCCTAGCACAGTATTTGGCCCACAATAGGTGATTAATAAATGCTTGTTGAATTAAATTTAGTGTCCTGGGTGGCCTAGCACTGCCTTGCATGACACGAGTTCTCCTCACTATGAGCTTAATTCAATTAAACAATTCATGAGTGAAAAAAATGGGAGTTGGGAGTGGTATTAGGGAACATTGAAAGAAATGCCCTTTCAAGCTGGTTAGTGGGTTAGGACATTATTCATTCTTTCACACTTGAAATGTTAGATGGGTTAAGGAAAAACATGAGGGGGGGGTGGAACTGAAGGTTAGAGTTTCAAATTAAAGCAAAGCAGCTGGTGATTGGGAACCCCAACCCATTGACTTCTGGTTTTGAGACCCAGGAAAACATTGTAGGACCCTAATTAATCTAGACACATTTAAACGGTGGGATTTCCGTAGATATTTCTACCATGATGTCATAAAGTGAAAAGCAGCGTGGCATGGCAGAGACATGGCCATCCTTGGAGTCAGAAGACCTGGATTCAGATTTGAGTTTTACCCCCAGAATGGAATGACTGTATGATGTCGTCTAAGTGGCCTATGCTCTTGGTGCCCCCCACATAACTCTTTAAGGTTGTAAGCTATGGCCTGGTGGACAAAATTTGTATCAGTGGACAGTTCCCACGCCAAGAGATTTCCCTATTGATGAAATCACAGGTTTGGACCAAAGGAAATGAAAGAAGAGAAGACAAAAGATAAGACAAGAGAGAAGGAGAAAAGAAGGAAAAAAGAAGAAAGGAAAGAAGAGGAAATGGAAAAGAAAAGAGAAAAAATTAAAAAGGAAAGAAAATAAATGAAAAGGAAAGATGAGAAAGGGGAAAGAGAACAGAAGATAAAGAAAAATCTATATTATTGTTTTCACAAGTAAGGATTTCTGATTTTCTCCTGAATTCTTTACTGCAGCATCCCTTCCTTCCACACTAGAAATACTAATTAAATACCTAGTAGATGCATTAGCACTGGATTAGGTGCTCTGTGTGTGTGTGTGTGTGTGTGTGTGTGTGGTCGTGTATGGTGAGGGAAGCTTAGAATATAAACTTGAGAGCAGGGACTCTTTCTTCTCTGTCTTTGTTTCACCAGTGCCTAGTACACAGTGGCACTTAATAAATACTTCTTGAATTGTGGTATATCATAAGTGCTTAATAAATATTTCTTGAATTGCGGTACACAGTAGGCACTTAATAAATACTTAGATTTTGGTACACAGTAGGCACTTAATAAATACTTCTCGAATTGAATCTAAGCTCGTTGATTTCCTATATGGTTTGACATCCCCACGAGCTGGGCTCCACTTTCTCACTGGTTGGTAAGAAACTCTCCCATGTGATTCATTTTCATGTTTCAAACAAGTGATCCATCATCTAGTGAGAGGGAGCCTTGTGTGTGCCCACTGAAACTCAAAGAAAGAAAGACTGGGTATGTAAACGCCCCCAAGTCTGGAAAGCAGGGGCTAAGCAGTGCTGTTGGGCTTAGCCAGGCTGTTTGAGCCATCTGGGAAAACAAAGGGAGCTCAGGGAAATAGGCTCCAGAGAATGCCTGCTCCTGGGAAAAGATGGGATCAAGAAAGAAGGAAGGAACTCTCATTAACTCTCCGCCATTT